TTAGGTACTACTTCCTAGATGACTTTATGCTTCAAAAGTGTGTTCGTGAGTCGTGCTCAAGAAGTAAGCAAAGATGGACCAACCTTACAGTAATGTTTATATGTGTTGAAAATAATGTGAAGTAAATGATTTTTTATTTATTTATTTTTTTCAAAAATCTTACTGTTTTAAGAAACTAAGCAAGAATACAGCATGGCCATAGAGTTTCGTGTGTTGTGTTGAATGTGAGAATCTCAAACTATACTACTGTACTCAAGAATATACAAATGCTCACTCATATTAAACTATATATGCTCCAGTCAAAAAGCACCTTTAAATGCTAAAGAGGATTATCAAGTGCATGTAAGAATAATGCTCACACTCTAATTAGTTAAACCATAAAAAGTAGTGATATAATCAATTCTATGTATGAATAAATATGTATATATCAATGGCGAGACAGTTTACAGAAGCTAAAAGAATACACGTACATATACGTCAAATAAACAACTGTCACACTTGATGCACAATTTATATTGTTTCAATATTTTTTTTTTTTTTTTTTTTTTTTTTTCTTGTCTCTGTAAAAAAATCTTCAGTGAGATGTACATTATCAAATAGAATGGTGGGTGAATGCAAAATAGGGTCTACCACAAAACCCAAATTATCTTTAAGCCAAATATAAGGAATGTGATCATGTAACAATAATTGGTGCTCCCAGACCACTAAACCCAAATACCATTGGGTGCTTTTTTATTTTAAATTTAAAAGATCTTCCTGAACAAAAAATTAAATTTTGTTGCAAAGCTGTGGAAGTATAATTGTATGGTCTGAAAACCATGATATATATATATATATATATATATATATATATATATATATATATTTCAACAAATCACATGATTTGTTTAATCTAAGAGCAATGATTCACAACTCAAAAGTATTTTAAGATGTATAAAAAGGATTTCTCGGACACCATTATCACTACGTGTGTAAACAACTTCGTCAAGAAGAGAGAAATACAGAGAGACATACAAATTGATACAAATATTTCTATATATATGTTAGAGGACTCTAGCTATACAGATTGCATCTGGACCATTCTCTCATAGATTTAATCTGATCTCCCTCTTCACATTTATCTTATCAAATAAAGATTAATAGTAAATGTGTATTTAGAATCAGATAATCTTATTGTCTAGGAAGAATAAGAATACTTTTGAGATTACGATTCATAGATTACATACTTAGAGATCGGTCGGCGAAATTTGCAGACCACTAGGTACTTATTGTTTACTATGACATAATCTAACTCGTGCTCATCTGTGTAGTATAAAATATAAAGGATATATATTTATACAAGATATGTAACAGAGCATAAGAGAATTGGATTTATCAAGTATGAATTAACCACAAATTTGATAAAAGTAATAGACATGGGTAGATGGTGCGTATCCAGTTTCTTGGTTGTAGATATCGATGGAGACAGAGACTTGTTCGTCGCTAAACCATTATTTTTGTGATCGATAATGAACGAAACGTTAGAGTTGGCCAGTGTCAACAACAAAGGCTACGAATACGAACACCATTATAGATCAATAATTTCTTGGTCGTAATTTGTTGGGACTAACACACGTTTCCCACAGACGGCGCCAACTATTGATACAAAAATTCGCCCGATCCGGAGCCAATGGCCATTCCTACAAGATAAGAGAAGTGATGACCGACGTGGCACCGGTCGGGTGCACTCCGACGATCAAGTTAGTACTTGACAATTGAATATCCAAGAAAGGATTTCATATGGAATGGGATTTATAGCGTAACTTTTTATGTTGACTGACTTCACTTTTATAGAAAGTTAAAATTGTCGTTTCCGCATTTCCTTCCCAGAGAAAAAAGATTAGTTAATCGTATGTTTGATGCAACATTTGAATTAATCAAATCTTATCCTTTAATTATCTTATAAAATAATCATTTTGAATGATTATCTTAATTATCTTATCTTCTTAATTAAGTTTATCCATATACTTTGAATCTCCATATCACTTGAAATTCTTATTTATTCGAATATTTTGTATCATATATATATATATATATATATATAATATTCAACTTGAATTAACTCTGCAAAAAGAATAGTCTGACAAAGGTGGGGTAGAAAAAATATCTGATATGAATACAGGCAAACGGTGCATGTTAGAATAAATCCAATTAAAAAAAAGAAAAAAGAAATAGAGTGGATGCGCACAATAGAAATCATTTTGAATGACGTAGTGGGGACCCACACACAGACGCAGTGGAATGACGTAAATACATTTGACAAAAGTCAAAGAAATCATTAACCCTAGAGAATATTATTTCTTATTCCAATGTTTTAGACAGCTTGCTTGCTTGGCACCACCATTCATTACCTTAACAGTTCTGAAGCACACAAATATCTCGTCACATAAGAAAATTGCTTAACTAAAATAAATTATATTACTATTTATTATTTGTAACATTCTACAATTTTAGTACTACTATTAAATTAATACTTCTATCTATAATTTTCTTTTTGCACCATGTTAATTATGTTCTCAATAAAAAACAATTTATCTTCTTCTCTTTTTTTTTTTAGTTTAAGTATTAGTTGATGATTATTTAAATATATGAATTAATGGTGATAAATTAAAATTTTATCTATTGATTTATGGTTAAAAAATAAATAATATTGAACTATTTAAGTAAAATTTTAATTCGTAGATTCAATCTAATCCAATCCGTCATTCAACGAATTCTGATCCGATCCGTCATTCAACGGAATCGATTCAATCTGTAAAATAACATAGGTGAATTCAAAATTTTCTAATGAGTTGGAGTGGATGGAATTATTTAATTCAATTTGACCACCTCTAATCCTTACTCCATATAACCGAAGGGAATTAATATACATATTATCCATCATAAATTTTGAATTTAATGGACGTCACGTCACAATATTAACCTAATCCAGTCAACACACATTTATATAAATATATATAAATTTTTATGTTCTACATCTACATATTATATTTATTGTTGATCTGATGGGTATTCAATTCAAAAGATTAATTTATTAGGTGGAGTAACTCTTACCTACCTTATAAGTCTCAAATTTTTTCTTTTGTTTTTTAACTGATGTGAGAGCCTCGTTAAACTACCCAACAATTATCATGTACCAATTATTTGTGGCAGAAATATGAAGCAGCAATATGCATTGTTATAAAAGTGTGAAACTTTTTTCTAATTTTTAAATATATTTTTATTTTTATTAAGAAAATAAAAATATTTTCATTACTAAACTCCAAAGTCTAGCCAATAAACTGTTGAGCCATATCCGAAGTGAATATTTGATATTTGTGTTAGCTACCAAAAGTTAGTTTAGCCGCTTATAGACCCTTCCTTCCTTTTTTTTAATCACTGTCTCCTTCTCATGACAAATGGTGCACTTTCAAGTCCTAACCCAAAAAAATATGGCTCAGTTTGATATTTAATTCAATACTTAATTCTAAACCGATTAAATATTTATATTGTATCTATCTTTATTGATAATGAAATATTATTTATATTGTATCTATCTTTATTGATAATGAAATATTAAAAATAATAATAATAATATAATAAATATAAAGGGTGATGAGTTTCAATGTAATGTTGCGGTTTTAGTCATTGGATTAAACTAAGTAGTATATACGAAACGGTTAGGATACAGTCAAGCTAATAAACTGTCCAAAGGGTCCTCCACTAACAGTCTACACGACCACTAGCATTGCGGAGACAACTAGTAATATACTAATAGTTACAGGTGTGTATATATATAGTATACAATTCTGATGACAAATTTTTATGATGACGTGGCTATAAGAAGTTGCACCTTTTTCCATGCAAAGTTGTACACCTTCTAACACACGTGTAAAACACGCACTCACGTGAACAACTACCATGTCTTTGATAAAATATACAGTGTATGTACATTGGGCAAATCATTACCATTGATATTTCACACCCTGTGGATTATGTTCTCAATAAATAATATTTTACCATTTAAAAAAAACAAAATTTAGTGAAAAAATAATATAGAATCTGGGACAAATGACTTTTATTTAACCCAAAAGAACCCAATTTTGATTTTTTGGTATACTCGTTGTATATGCAAATTGTGCACTCTCAAGTTTGAACCCAAATATTAAAACATTGGAACCTTATCTAAGAAAGATTTTATTTCTTGATTTATTAAACAAACGAATTGAATTACATATAGGTTATAGTTTTTCTTTATTATTATATTTTTTTATATAGAATTTTTATTATACAACAAATTTATTTGGTACTACATATAATCAATTTGAAATCTTGATTCTACTTTACCAGCATTAAGAGCAACCGGTATAAGGGTTTGTTTGCTAGCTCTTGAGTCAGTTTTGCTAGTATGTGAATTGGTATGAAGCTAGCAAATTCTAGGATCCACAGAAAAGTTAGCAAAGGACATCGCAACAGGTAACATGTCTTTTGCGAGCCAAACAAGTCCCACGCCCTGAATTCAACGACTCTTGACCCTTTTTCTTTTTTTGTTTTATTATTTTTTTTCCTTTGGCCCACAAGCAAAGGCTCTTTTCCATTTTTTTTTTTTGTTTTTTTTTTTCTTTTGGTTTTTTTCTTTACTATTTCTTTTTATATGTAATTTATTTTTATTGTAAAAAATAAATTTATGATTTTGATTATTTTATTTTATTTTATTTTTTATTTTGAAATAAATATTTATGATTTCTATTTCTTAGTCTTTTGAAAAAAAATTTAAAAAAATTTGTCAACAAATATATATGAATTTTTTAAAACAAAATATCATATTGTTAGAAATGGTTTTTTTTTTTTTTTTTATGATTTTGATTTTTTTTTTCCTTTAAAATTTGTCAACGAATATATAAGAAAAAAAAATTGTAAAGTAATATTTTATTCATTACAAACATACAATATGAAGAAATATATTTTACTCAATATTATCGTTAAACCTCTTCATTGCCAAATTTATTCCACAAATACTCCATAAGATCTCTCCTGAGATCTTCATTGTTTTCTACATTGCGAATCCTGCTGAGGCGAGTGGAGATGTGTGCTGCCAAAAATGATCGGTCTTGATTGTACTGTGAAAGGTAGACCGACTCATCCGTTGGAGGTGTCCATTCCAAAATGTTAGTGTCGCCCTCGTCTTCTATGATCATGTTGTGCAATATGATGTACGTTCTCATTATCTTGCTCAGGTCTTCTTTCTTCCAATAATATACTGGTCCATGCGTTATAGCCCACCTTATTTGCAACACACCAAATGCCCGTTCAACATCCTTCCTAACGGCTTCTTGTCTTTGAGCAAACAATTTCTCTTTTTCAGTAGTTGGGCGCGGGATGGTTTGAATCAAAGTTGCCCACTTAGGCTATGTTTGGTGTGAGTGAATGGAATCAAATGAAGGTGAAATGGAATGCATTTATTCCATTCTCTTGTTTGGCGTGTCACATTAAAAGTGGAATGGCCATTCCTAGGGAATGCCCATTCCATCAAAAAGGTGGGATGCCCATTCCACTTCTTGAGAGGTGGAATGACCATTCCATTCCCACTAAGAATTAATAAAGTAATAAAATAATTTAAAGAGATAATTCACGCATACACACACTATATAAAATATAATATATATATATATATATATATATATGCTGTTTGTTCCCCCTCTCTCTATCTCGTTTATTTTTCTCTCTCTATTATCTCTTTCCCTTTTATTTTTGCAAATTAATTTTTTTAATTAATTTTTTTTACTAATAATAAAATGTAATTTAAAGAAACAATATAAATTCATTCTATTCTAACTTTCTTACCAAACATAAGAATGAGAATGAGATTCCAATTTTACACATTCCATGTTTACAACTAAACGGTGGAATGAGAATCATTATTCTCATTCCATTCCCACCTCCATTCTCATTCCATTCCAATTCATTCCACCACACTAAACATTATATACCATCAGATAGGTAATACCCCAACGTACGGTGATGTCCATTCACCTCGTAATTAACTAGAGGCATTGTACCATTAATGATACGATTGAATACTAGGGAATGATCTAAGACATTCAAATCATTGTGTGAACCAACCATACCAAAGAAAGCATGCCAGATCCATAAATTTTTTTATGCAACCGCTTCCAATATGAGGGTAGGCTTACGACCTCTCCCCTTGTGTGTGCCATGCCACCCTTTAGGGCAATTCTTCCATTCCCAATGTATACAATCTATAGAGCCAAGCATACCTGGGAATCCTCTTTCTTCCCCTTCTTAAAGTAAACGTGCAATGTCGCTTTCGTTTGGCGAGCGTACGTACTGCTCCGTATGCAATGCAATTGCAGCATCACAAAATCTCTTCAAGCTTTCGATCGCAGTGCGCTCTCCAACCTTTATGTACTCATTACAAAGATCTGCTGAAATTCCATAGGCAAGTATACGTATTGCTGCTTTCATCTTCTGTATAGGGGTGCACCCCATACAACCAGTAGCATCGGGCTTCTGTTTGAAGAAGTTGTCATGAGTTATAATATCGTTCAAAATGCGAAGAAACAACTGTCGTCGCATTCTAAACCGTCTACAAAAATATTCAGGTGGAAACACAGGATTTTCGGCGAAGTAATCTTGCCAGAGTTATTGTGCTGCATCCTCCCGATCACGTTTAATATATCGTCTCTTCTTTGGTTTAAATAATGCTTTTAGATTCTCAGGCGTAAAAATACCCAGAATCGTTTTGATCCTTTTTTGATGGAATTAATAAACCGTCTCCCGATCAGAATCTGACGAATTTTCTGAAGAATCAGATTCGGAGATTTGAAAAGATTGTGATGATGATGCCATTTTTTTTCTTATATAAAAGTTGAGAATTCAGAGAAGAGAAAAAGTGGTAGAGGAATCAAATAAGAGAAAATATGGACTTGAGGAATGAAGGAAGAGAAAATAGGCTTGAGCAATTACAAAAGACTAAATTAGTGGTTTATATAGCCGTTGGAATATAGCCGTTAGAAATATAGCCGTTGGAATATAGCTGTTAGGAATATAGCCGTTGAGAATATAGCCGTTGGAATATAGCCATTAAGAATATAGCCGTTGGGTATACAATAATCTCTATAAATACAACACTCATTTCAGTCAATACTCATCCTTCAACACTTATTTCTCTCATTATTCAACATTCATTTCACTAAATCATCATCCTTCGACATTCAACGGATCAGCGACCTCCATTCAACAACCCTCATTTTAACCAATATGGAAACTTCGGAATACCATCTCAATTCAATTCTGGGTGGCACTCTCAAGATCCAATCCATTTTGAATATACATCTCAACCCCAATTCCAAAACCAAATTTATCCAGAATACACACCTCAAAGTCAAAATCCATTTTGTTACCCTTACACATCTCAATTCCAAAATCCATCTCAACAACCCCCATACACACCTCAATTCCAAAATTCCTCTCAACCTTCTCAATCACAGCTGTTGGTTTCCTTGATGGAGTCGCCACAACCAACAAAGCTTGAAAGTTGTGTGAGAATTTAGGAGGTGGCCAAGTTTTACATTTATAGAAAGCCACTACTACCTTTCTCTATATAAAATATAGATAGGGCGAGTAGGGATCGTCCTAAGGGATTTGATGGTATATCGAATTGTGAAACTATGGTAATTAGGGTTAGTAGGTCAAGTGATCACACAATTGATTGGTTGGTTGATTAAGCTAAATTGAATTCAACTAAATAAAATAATATGAAGTAAACAAGAGAGAGAGAGGTCTTGGGGTGTAGAGATCACCACCAAGCAATACTAGTCTATACCACTAACAAGTGATCAACTGAGGGTAATGGATGTGTTGCAATATGATAAAGGTGTGTGTGCATTAGGTTGATTCAATTGGCAAGGATGACAAATCAAGCAAGTATTGTCTAAACATCATGTGAAGAGCAAAATATATCTAAACAATAGAGCATATATTGTCTAGACAACATGGGGATAGCACAATAGATCAAAACAAGTTATTAATTCTTCATTAAGCTCACAATCCACATACAACACAATATTAGAGGAATATGCCATTTGGACTCACAAGCATGGAACATCAAACATCAACAGTAGATTGTCCTTCCATCTAACATTACACTACCACTACACTAAATCTACACTACTAGCATGAAAATAAAGCTATCTAAACTAGGGGAGAGGCACAAACCATCAAGAATAGGCATAAACCATCAAATAAACCAAAATAGCATTCATTAAGCATATCATCTTGATAATCTCTAGATCTATAGCATCAATACATATAGACATGCATCAAAAACACTAAATCTAGGGATAAGCACATGAATATCCTACTCTAGCATACATAGACATATGGATAGAATAGAATAGTCAATTGGAAGCATTAAACCATACAAACCATGAAATAATCAAGATTTATATATACATGAATATCAAGATGTATCATACAACACTAATCCCTCAATAATACACAAGATTAGAGTATGGAAAGCATGCTTGGGGCTAACTCTAGCCCCAAGAGAATGTCTAGCCACTCAAGGTAGTGATGATCCAACCCTCAAGGGCTAACTCCATGGCTGTTCCTTGTTAGTGAAGATCTCCTCCAATGGTTGCTCTAGCTTCCTCCCTTCTTCCTCTCCAAGAATAGCCTCCAAGATGATTTTCAATGTGTGACAAGAGACTCTAGAGACTCCCTCAAAAAGTGTATCATATTCCTTATATAGGTAGGTCAAATACACCCCATGATGAGCTGTGGTCGTGCAAGTCATATTCTCCAATGATTGGATGAAGGACGGAATAAATGAGCTGGACTTTAACTTTTTCTCGCTGGAGGAAGTTCGATCGATCGAACCTTAACTTGGATCGATCGAAAATGGGTTCGATCGATTGAACTGCATCTTGGATCGATCGAAGTGGTCTGACTCCTCCGGATAATGACAAGGCTGTGATATTTTCAAGATATTTATGGGGAAAAAGACAAAAGTGGTTGGTAGGCGTACAGCTGTGGATAAGATCAATTATTTGAATAGGATAAAATAAGGTTCGATCGATCACAGATGATGTTCGATCGATCGAACTTGGAATTTCAGCAAAGGCCAAGGTTGGATCTATTGAGAAGTACTATGATAGATCATAGATGTTCGATCGATCGAACTCTGAGTTGGATCGATCGAACTTTTCAGCTGCACAACTTTGATTCCTTTTTGTTCCTTTCTTTCTCCACTTTGCTCCCTCCTTCGGTTTATCTCAGGATTGCTTCAATTAAGCTCTTATTTGGCCGAATTAGCTAAATTTTGGGATTAGTGCCTGAAAATATAAATAACACGTAATAAGTCTAAAACGGCAAAGTAAGATAGATAAAGGTACTAGAATGCTTAAGCTTAACGGGTTTAAATGCGCACTTTTCAGCGCTCATTATACCCACAAACTTAAATATCGGTAGTCCCTAGCAGTGAACTAAGAAGTAAAGGAATGAAATAAACAGCTATACAAGTATAAACTGGAAAGCAAGTAAAATGATAACACCATTTTCGTAGGGAACACGATTGCATTTAGCATATGCGACAAGCCTTTTAAACCCCTAGGTTACCCCTAGTGGACGAGTAAAGTCTCGTGAGGGTTTCCAGAAATGGTACCACAAACATTAAGCTCATTCTTTCAAAAGAGGCACCAATATTGCAAACAAGCATTGGGAGAAAACTACCTCAAGTATGCAATTTTTCAACCGTTTCTAAGCAATCTCCCAAAATTTCAATATCAAGTAAGCAAGTAAGGTCCTCCACATATCAAGAAAATGATCATGAAAATTGAAACAAGTCTAGAATCCATGTGAGAGATCCGGCATCAAGCGTGTTGCTATCTTAGCCAACTAGAGAAGTAATCACATCCTTACCCTCAAACTAGCACACAAATCTAGTACCGATCATCAAGATAAGAGAGTGGACCTTTTATTAAACTTTTATTGTTCTAGGTGCGCTTATTCTTTTCATTCATTTTCTTCTTCTTTTTTCTTCTTTTTTTTATTTATTTTTATTTATTTTTATTGAGGATCAAAGATGAAAATATTGTGCAATGTGTTGATCTCTTAAGCTTTCTAGAAGATTCATGTAGTGAGCTTTAGGTCAATGACTCCCAAACTAGCTGGCTTTAGGGCATTAGGTGTTAAGACACCCCAACGGACTTATAAACTCAAATCAACTAGGCTACAAATCAAGACAACAACCATCTAATCATTTCCCACTTCTCGCCTTTTGGGAGAAGTCCTCACTTTTATTGCTTTTGCAACTTTCTTTCTTTTTTTTTTTTCTTTTTTTTTTTTTCAATCAATTATTAACCTAGAGTTTGGGCCCTCCACCTGTCGGCGTGAGAAGTTCACTGCTTAATGAGGCAAGAATCCCGGCTACTCAATGAAAAGGGGTTGTTATCCACCTTTATCAAGAATGAAAGTTTTCAATGCACTACTAGCCAAATTGGGATATAACCAATTCAATAATCAACAAAGCATGTACCCCACAAATGAATGCTAGTGTGCACCGGTGCTAGTGTAGAATCCTAGAATGAATATCAAAACAATCACAAATTCAGGATGATATGGATCACAAATGTAAGCAAGATATCAATCTTTTGAAAAATTTACTCCTAAATGGCATTCTCAAGGCAAACAAGGAGTATTGGACTCTCAAGTCAAACAATTTTTAAATTTTAAGCAATATAGTACTCAAAATATCAAAATCATAGCTAACATCAATCTCAAATCTCAATAATGCATTTAAAGCTTAAATCTTAAGTAGAATGCAACAAGACACCTTACCCCAAACTTAAACCGCACATTGTCCTCAATGTGCAATGAGAACAATAAAAAAAAACAAAGTGGAAAGAGTATACCGTGGTGGTGTAGACATGAAGCCCGGTCATGATCCAATTCGAAAGACGTCTCCCCCAAACTTGGAATCAACAACCTACTTGAATAACCACACTAGCAAACTCACATCAAATATCAAATGGGATAAGAATAATCAAATCAAGCATTCTAAGGCAATGTAACACATGATGCAAGAGAGATATAAGATCAAGCCCTAACTAAAGCATAAAGTATGCATAACTACACATAAGGGCACAATGGTGAATCTTTTTATATTTTTAATGAAAGCAAGTATATACAAAATGCAAGAAAAACAAAGAATAAAATGCATGAACAAAATACAAAAAAGAAAAATAAATAAGGCAAAATGTAATGAAAGAATATTTACAATGCAAGAAATGAAAAAGGAATATGAACAATGCGAAAAGAAAAAAAAAAAAAAAAAAAAATGGAAAGAATATGTACAATGCAAGTATAAACAAAATTTTCTTACTTTTTGTTTTTCATTTTTTTTTTATTATTTTATTTATTTATATATATGTGAAAAATTGCAAAGAAAAATGAAAAATGTAAGAAATATATAAAATGGATGCTAAGTTTAACGTCTCTAGTAAGACGGAATGCTTCTTTGAAAAACCGTCTTTTTTTGTTTTTGTTAGACAAAACAAATATGTACACCAACAAAAAATAAAAAGACAAGTGAATAAAAATAAAAATAAAAATAAAAATGCAAGAAGTAAAAATGTAAGGAAATAAAGAGTGCAAAAAAAATTTTTTTTTTTTTTTTTTCCAAATTAAAAATTAAAGTTAAACAAAATATTTTTGGATTTTTGGAAATAAGATAAAAGGAAATAAAATAAAAGAAAAGAAATATTATTATTTTTTTTATTTTTTTATTTATATATATATATATTTTATTTTTAATATCAAGATAGAAGTAACTAAATAAAATAAAATAA